TCATTTCAATGTGATACATATTTACCATTATAGAATAAATAAATTCTGAAATCAATAAAGATGTCATCATGATCGCCTATAAGTGGGGCCTCTGTTGACCAAACCCCCTCATACGGAGAAGGTTTAAGAATTAATCATTACGCTTTTTTAATAGGGGTTGCCAATTTCAAACATATAAATAAAATTAAAAATTGTAAGTCCAGGTTTCCTCACGATGTTTTCCTTCACCGTTTGTCAGTGGTGTCTAAACAATTGTATGTATCTAACAATGAAGATGTACTTATAAATATGATTACATTTTTATATACTGTAAATAAATGCAGACCATGACATGCATATTTTAAGAAAAATACTACATACAAATCTAGCTATTATATAAATTATACAGCTATATATATATATATTATCTGATTGCAATCCAGTTTTCAATTTGACCTTTGCTCTTTGAATATTATTGATAACATTTTCAAAATATTATTTTATAAAGCTATTACCTTTTTTATATTTTCCTTGTGTTAATTGTTGTATATATCTTAGTTTTTATCCTTAATTTAGTCCTAGTTATTGATATTCATTTTAGTTTACAAAATATATTTTTGTTAAATAATTTCATATTTTTATTTTATTTATGCACAACACACAGACCCAAATTATTTACATATGTATTCTCCTGTGTACACAGGAGAATACATATATAAATAATTTATATATGTATTCTCTTTTTTTATTTCACCCAAATTATTTATATAGCACTAAATTATTTATTTAGATACATAAGCACTACATATTCCCGTAGGTATCTCTTCCGGCATTCCTTCGACAGGAAAAACAGTAAAAACTAAAACACTGTGTGTAACATAGCATGAACAAAAAAAAATAAAAAATTACCAAAATTTAAGCCAATAAGTACTTAAAACTACATACACAAAATATATAGTTTCCAAAATGACTGTGCAGATGCGATGCGGTTCTACTGTCTGTCTACTGGTAAACTATACACCTTTTCCACAAAGAGGGTCTACCAAAAGATCCTCAATTGGCAGGTGGGGTGGAATCATTGAAGATTGCAACTTTCCTTTATAAACCTGACGGATTTAGGTTTAGCAGAGAGTGCTGTAGCCACATCTCCGACGTTTGTGTTGAGGATCACGACCAAACTTAGTAACTGTTCTTTGTAAAGTCTTGGATCTTTATGACACCCACTTTGTGAGTAAAGGTGATAAAAAAACTATTATACTCTACTACTATTTTTTAAGAGGGGAAAATTATCGAATAACTGCTCCCGCCTGGATGAGGCGGGAGGATGTGTCAGGCTCTTACTGACTAAAAACCACCCTGTTCCTTCTCCTGCGCTTCGAGCCGGAGCCCCGTAGGTTAGGTTCTCCACGGCTATTCTACTACTATAAAAGTAGTTCTTATAAAGATAATTTCATCTCATATAAATATTATGTTAATTTTTTTATTTTTTTATGGCATAAGCCAAAGGTAAACGAGCAGACGGATCACCCGATGGTAAGCAATCGGCGTTGCCCATGGCCACCTGGAACTCCAGAAGCGTTACAAGTGCGTTACCGGCCTTTTGGGGATATGGAGTTTGAGGATCGTTAGGGATTCAGGAATTGGGGAGATTGGGGAAGGGGAGGGTAATTGGGCCTCCGGTAACCTCACTCACACGACGAAACACAACGCAAGCGTTGCTTCACGTCAGTTTTCTGTGAGGCCGTGGTATCACTCCGGTCGAGCCGACCCATTCGTGCCGAAGCATGGGTCTCCCACACTTAATTAATAAATTAGACTAGTAACTACAATTCGTACTTTAAGTTAATCCTCGCACTACGTAATTAATGTAACTGCTTACTTCATTAAAATGTGATTAAATTAAAATGCCACACTCACAACTTTGGTTAACGGTTTTTAGTTTGGGTTATATTCCATTGACGTTAATATCAATATCATAATTTGTTCCTACTTTTCCACTCGAAGTGGTCAAAGAAGAAAATAGTGGTCTATGTCACTCTCCAATCTCTTCCCAGATACAAAAATCATAATATGACTTCTTACTGACGTTCGAAAAAACAAATGATACGATTTTTCATGACTCATCATGTCTGTCCTGTTATCATGTAACACTTATTATGTCTGAGACATGGACATTCATGGTCTGACATGACAAGAAATCCATATCTGCAAGATTTACATAGGCTGAGAGCTCACTTGATAACTGAGACTGCCAAGGAAACCAGTTACAACATCATTTCTTTAGCAGAGCTAGTCTCAAGAAATAAATTCCCATAGAGGAATTCAATAATAAGTTTAGACTTATTACACTCTTTTTTATGGCATAAGCCAGTAAACAAGCAAACGAATCACCTGATGGTAAGCATTCGGCTTCGCCCATGGACACCTGTAACACCAGAAGCGTTACAAGTGCGTTGCCGGCCTATTGGGGATTGGGAGTTTGAGGATCGTTGGGGATTCAGGAATTGGGGAGATTGGGGAAGGGGAGGGTAATTGGGCCTCCAGTAACCTCACTCACACAACGAAACATAACGCAAGCGTTGTTTCACGTCGGTTTTCTGTGAGACCGTGGTATCACTCCAGTCGAGCCGGCCCATTCGTGCCGAAGCATGGCTCTCCCACACTTTGACATAGGCCAATGATCACCGCAATTTTTTTATAATTGTACGAAAATCCTTACGATCATAAAACTATCATACTGTTATGTGCATAAGTTTTATGCAATTCGAATATTCTTTCACCGAATTGCAGATAACAAAACATAATTTACATTACAGCACACGAAAAACAATTAATCAAACGAAACATAAGTAAGTACTTACAATTAATTTAATACACAATCTAACCCGAGGCTGATAGATTGAGAAGCTGATACATCAACACTCGGTACATTTTACCCCCGGGAATCACCCTAAACTCAACAATTATTATTTATTCAAATGGTTTCCACAAAGCCAGACTGATTGACGAAAGCTTGTAATTTTAGTAAACGAACTTCATTATATATCGCTTTGCTAAAATTGGCGGCCATTTTCTTTGATTATTCTATTTTTCGGGTAGATAATTTTCATTAAAACTTTGGCTATGGGAAACTGTTGAAAGTCAGTCTTTTGCTAATGCCCGCCATTTATCCCCATGGCTGAAGCAGATTATTGTATTTACCTAGTTTAGTAATCACAAACTAAATTACTAGTCAAAGTCAAAGTCGAAATCATTTATTTCAATTAGACCAGAAAGGCACTTTTAAACGTCAACAAAAAGAAGTAAATCTACCTCTATATTATTCTAAGGTATAAATTCGAAGAATAAACAAGAAACTCCTTAGGTTACTATTGTTGCATCAAGTTCATAATACAATTCTTTAGTTACATAGTTTCGTGGGTTCAGTTGTATGAGAACAATGTAACACCAAAATCCAGTCAAAGAGATCGAAAAAGAAAGATCGAATAAAGACAATGAATGATAGTCTAAATGAAAGTGTAATTATTGTAATAATTATAATATTAGATACCATTATACTTACCTACTATACATATTAATTTAAATGATGTAAACAAATTATCAGCAGTAGAGAATAAACATAAACGGACCAAAGTTAACAGTTACAAACATTTCGAACATTCCCTAATTATTTATTTGAAAATAAAGATAAAATAAAACATACAATAGCATATGTAGGTATAATAGTTTTCCTAAAAAAGATACAGGTATTAAAAATACGTAATAGGTACGTAAAACAATACATAAGTGAATAAATACTTTATCAATATTATCTCGTTACTTTTTCAAGAATATTCCAGTAGGACCAAGATAAAAAACCAGCACTGCAGACAAAATAATCCAATACGCTTTGAATAAACCAGTTTTTCAGTTAATTCCGCTTCCATCTAAATTATTAATTTAATGTTATTTATTACCTGTTTATTCATTTATTTATACATATTTTATTGACCAACAAACAAAATGGTCACAGAACTTGTATTTTACATTCATACATACATACATACGGTTTTTTATTCTTAGGAATGTGATACTATTCACAACTTTATTCTATTTATTATGACGTTTATTACTATGAATTGTATTTTGTATATTTTCAGAGATATTCTTTTAAATGTCACAATAAGTTTGAATAAACTTAATTATGTATTTTGTATTATTTAGATGTCAATAGTACTTTATTTTTTTTGTAGGAGTCTGTATCATGATACTCGTATCGTGTCTTATGTCTTGAAACTTGTATATGATTTGAATTCACTAAACGATAATATGTTAAATGAAAGCGCATTGCGTAGTTTTGATTCCTAACGTTAATTACTTGAAAGAAAGTTGGTGTGTTCTTACTAGTACTCTTCCATACTTTTAACACACGAACCCAAATCTCTAAAATAGTACTAAAAATGTTAAGAAAAATCAGAAGTACTATTTAACTGACATTGAATCCAAAATTCCTGGCTAAAAACACTCACGCTTGCTTAAGAAATAGTGTCATATTTTTTTGCTAAAATTGCATTTACCTGTGCATGTGAGCACGTGCGTTGCACCGCCTATATCACGCATAAATAAAATGCTGATATCAAAATCAGCCTACAAACTGCTTTGATTTCATAATTTCTAACTGACAAGCCTGTTAAACAAATAAGTAAATGAGATTCGTACTTTGTACGGTTGCATGTGGCATTTTAAAGTTATTGTATGGTAGTGCTAGTGCAGTGGTTAACAACTGTTGAAATTATTCAAATATTTTTGTAAATAAGTCATTCAAAAATCAAGTTCATAACAGTGAAAGTGTTAAAAAATTGCAAGTAGCAACAAATGTTTCACCAAATCGTAGGAAGTTGTCATAATCATTATTATTAATGGGTTCAATGAGATGCGAGCCAAGAAATAAATAAAAACAATCAGTGTTTGTGTCATTGGACTATTTAAGTGGAATGTGTAACGTAAAATTAAACATACCGAAGGCTCATTGAGACCGAATCTCGGTCGGCACGTGGTAGCTAGCGTGGACGACGGCAAAGCACCTTACTAAGCGGCCAGTCCGACTCATCTGCTTCCAAACAGTCGACCAATTACGTCGTCTCGACAAAAAAAAACTAAAAAAAAATGTGAAAGGGTCTTCTATAACAATAAGTGTTCAGTAACGTGTTAAAATAATATATTTACAATATTATCAGCTTGTGTTTGTGGGAAATCCGAAGAATCTGTTTACATTTCGTACCCTCAATAAAGGCGTTATAATTTAAGCTTTGAGCAAATAGCATCTGTACAATTGACGATAACATAAGATTTATAAAACCGCTACTTCGGGGAGAGAGGTAGGACTGTGAGAATGGATGTGAAGGGCAAAATTGTTGAGTGCGAGGAAGTGGACTATGAGTACGTGCCCCCTGAAGGAGGATGGGGGTACATGGTGTGCATCGGCCTGTCTGTTATATTCGTAAGTAATGTTTTTTTTTAATTTTATTTTGACTATAGTTGAGCTGTGGTTTTTATTAGGTGAAGACTTTTTACGAATTTGGATTTGTCGTGGGGTGAAATGATGTTTTAAAGATAATATATTAATTATTTTTAAGGACATGACATTATTTATTTTTTTACTTATAAAATATACTTTTCACCAATGATCAGTGAAAAATTAATTTTTAAAGGATATTTAATATGAATTTTTATTAGTATTATAATTTTACATAACAACATCACGCCTTTTATCCCCAAAGGGGTTGGCAGAGGTGCACATTACGGCACTTAATGCCACTGTACAATATAGCACCCACTTATCACTATTTATTTTACGAATCCCATGTAATAGGGGGTGAGGCAAATGCCATATACCGGGCACAAATTCAGACTCCGTGCTACTACTGAGATTTTTTTTTAAATTTGGAATCCAACTCGAGAGTCTTTGCCCAGCAGTCGCACTTGCGATCACTCGGCTAATGAGGCAGTCTAACAACTTTAAATACTCGTAAATCGTTTTTTAATATTGCACAAGTTTATAATATATAAAATTAATTATATTTAACAAAGTTTCCAGTCCACATACTGGTATGCTACTATATAACGACTTATTAATAGCCGATTCTTTTTAATATAATACCTCAGTCGATTACAATAGATAATATTAAAAAATCATTGGCGGGTCAATATCCAATTTATAATAGAGAGATTCGTAAGTCATTTAGTCGCTAATGTGATAACAAAATGACTTGGTTTTGATTCTTATTTGTTCGAAATGTATATTATAGACTGCCTCGTAGGCCGCAAGTGCGACTGCCGGGCAAGGGGTCTCGGGTTCGATTCCCGGGTCGGGCAAAGTATTACTGGGTTTTTAATAAAATTTAAACTGACAAACACCGAGCGGTCACCGGTGACCGCTTGGTGTTTGACAGTTTAATTGTTAACCGACTTCAAAAGGAAAAAAGGAACTTTCCGTCCCTGTACCTATACAAGGTTGTATATTTGTTGTTTTAAAGCCGCGTCATTTTCTAGGAGGTAACTCGGCTATCGATTCTGAGTCCGAATCAATAAAAAAAAATTGTAGGTAAATATTTTAAATTTTTCTATAAATTACGGAAATCCGTAAGTGCGAACTACACGCCGCCGTCTTGTACCTAGTTTTATAACGCGGCTTAATACACACAAACTCAAACACGTAATTGATATTATTCCTAATTCCATAAAACTCCAATAAGAAACATTGCTGTCGTTTATTCTGAAATACTTTCGAACTTAAACGATTTATTATAGCTGTATTTTTAACTATTGGCCCGAAATTTTCTCTTACATTGAACCTTTATGACTTCTATGACATGCCCCCGAGAAATGACACGGTTTCAAAACTACACCTTGTATACATTATGTGTATCTGTGAATGTTTATTTGTGCGCAATTATCTTGTAATTGGCTGAAACGATTTTCATGCGGTTTTCAGAAAAGTGTTTGATATTAGTTGGGAGAAGGTTCTATTATATTAATTTACTTGTGATAAATAATAATGGCCCAATTAACCCCCCCCCCCCTTTCCCCAATCCCCCCAATCCCTGAATCTCCAACGATCCTTAAACTCCTAATCCCTATAATGCCGGTAACGCACTTGTAACCCCTCCAGGTGTCTATGGGCGACGCCGCTTGCTTACCATTAGGTGATCCGTCTGCTCGTTTACCGGCTTATGCCATAAAAAAAATTAGCCGACTTTAAATAAAGAGAGGGTTGAAGTCTGTTTTTAAGTGTATTTTATGAAATAAATGATAAAATAAATAAATGATGAAACAAAATAGGTATGGTGAAGTATATAGCAAAGTAGAATGTAGAGGTATTTTCCACTATCCATTTTCTTTGAAACTTAAGTAAATATAGTATATTATAATATTCAAATCTAGTAGGTAACTACTGTTTTGAGCCGTTTGGGGTCGAAACACTTGGGCCATGGGGTCCCAGTGCACACTCTGTGTTTAAAGATATCGCCCGTAGGCTAATCGACTCTACGCGTGACCGAGTCCGAGACCGAGACCAGCCCTCTGGGCTGGCTTTTTCTTCGGACAGAAAATAATCATTGCCATTCAACGTGGCAATGCTGCCAGTCTTCTGGGAACGTTCCCCTGTGATAGTGATGCGGACGAATACTTTGACGCCTAAATTAAGGGTATAATTTTTGTTGTATTCTTTTTTACTTTCGTTTTATTTAATAGTTTAGTTGTAGTTAATTTTAAGTTGTAAATATTTATGTAGTTATTAAAATTATCTGTACATATTTTACCTTCAAATAAATCATTGAAAATAGTAAATATAGTACATTTGACATATACGGGCAGTATATATCAATGTTTTTAACTATGATCTCGAATAGACTATGTTAATCCTTCTTACATAAAAGAGGTTCCTAGCCCAACAGTAAACTGCTACAGTTAACTTTAGTTAATATTTAAAAATAACTCAATAAAAAAGAAAACAAAAACATTTGATAACAAAAATAAATTAGGTGACTTCTTTAAACATTAAGAAGATAAAACATACGGAAGTTTTCTTTTAAGATATGTGTATATATATATTACTATCATAATATATATGTAATAAATTAGGCCAGAACGTAATCAGTAGAAATGGCGCGTGCTTGAATAAACATAATATTGTTATATATTTGTAATACATTACTTATCTGTAACATTAATCTTATATATAATATATACAAATTGTCATTATACATATTTTAATTTAAAAAAAAAAACTTGTCAAATTATTCTTCAAATTGGTTACTGTATTAAAAATTTGAATTTAAAATATCTATTATATACTCAAATACTATTTCACTGATTTTATTCGAGGAGTAGATTGTGCATATATATATATATACAAAAAAAATGATAGTTTTGTACTTTTGGCTTTT